GTGTTTAAAAGGAATGATAAATTTTTAGAATTGTAAATTACAGTAATTTTCATCTATCAATACTAGCTTTGGAAATTAAAAACAAAATGAATTACTGCTATACCGCAAGAATTAATTAATTAATTGCATTAAAAATATTTGTAAGAATTAATTAATTGATTGCATTAAAAATATTTGTAAACCATAAAAAATGAAAGTCCTGAATCATACTGTAAAATAAAATGCATGAACAGTAAAGGATAATACTAACACTGTTTGTTTGATATGTATATGTAATGTTTGTAATTGCAGCACTTACTATCAATTCATATTTGTATCGTTGTTAAACGAGTAACCAACCATTAATGTGAAATTCAAGTACTATTAGTGAAAAATTCAATTTGAATAGGGCAATTATATCACATCCGAGTATATCATCTCTCATTTCGGGCATGATGTACAAGATGGAATTAGTTGTTTGTTGGCAGTAAATTTATACATCAGTTTGTTCAGCAATTACAGTGATGAAATGTGACAAAATTAGGGATGTACATTAAATAACCCTTCGAAAATAAATTAATTTGAAATTTAAAGAAAAAAAAGAAAAACAATCACGTAAGATGGAATAGCAACAAAAAATATCAAAAAAAAAAAAAAGCTGGATATTAAGTAAATCAGTTATTGTTATTGAATTTCGAAAACTGTTCAATTAGGAAAGTTATGAAGCTATAGCGAACAGAACAGTACTCATAAAAAATGACAAAGCTATTTCGAAAGTATAGCTTGAAATGTGCTTCCTTAAGTTTTCCCGCAAAGATCTATGAAAATTGGCCGAGAATTCAAAAATTGCCATTTGACTTTTTTTTACTGAAAAACTTTTAACTTCCTTTTTTTTTTGCTTTTTTAATATTTTGCAACACATGGAGAAATTTGATTAAAAGTTTTATTGTTGATAATGGAAAAGTGCATTATAAAGCAAACCGGTTAAAGAAAACCTGTGATACCAAGTAATGAAAGAACATTAAAAGTCTAGCATGAAAAATAATTTGGAAGTCACAGAAAAAAAAAAAGAGTCTATCGATAGATAGAACAAAAGTGGCATATTATACATACATTTGAATTTGTTTCTAAATCAATTTCTGAATCCGCCATTATTATTATTATTATTATTTTAAATAATTTTGTACTTACAAAATAAAATCATGCCACTAATACAAATATTTACAGCAAGAAATCAAAAATGTTCCCAAATGTAGATTAATCAAACTTCTAAAAGTCCAAAAATATAATTTCAAATTTTCAATTTCAAAGAAATATATCAGATTCTGTACAGCAAAGTCACCAATGTTTATCCTGAAATGACGAATCCATAGATCGATTAAAAAACTGCACCGATAATAAAAAGCTACCGGCTACTTTAATAACAGCGATTTTTGACAATAGTATATGAAAAAAAAAAAAAAATTCAGGCATCTAGAATGACATAAAAATTTCGGAATTACCAATAATGGTGCAAGCACAAACACTGAATTGAGTATGGCAGTTAAAAACATAGAGCTATTCACTCAATGACAGAGAGCATTTTGTCAAGATTAGAAATAGAAGTGCCTAAATAATTCGCTATTACCTATTTTTCTCATTTAATTTGAAGCACATTTATTGGAACAATTTTTTGTCTCAATTTCAGCATATTTATTTGTCGTGTCAGAAAGACTACTGAAGGCATATGTGAAAATTTCTTCTAATTTTATCTATTGATCGATAAGCTTACTACTAAAGTAGTGAGCATTTTGGGATATGCTGTGATAAGTTAGCTTAGCTTCTGCATTTTTGTTAAAGTTAAAGGAATCATGGAAGTCAAAAAAAAAAAACTTGAAGCGTCAAGTCCTGTTCACTGAAAAAAAGATTAGAGCGTATTGATTTATTAATAGATATTCTTATCACAGCATTCCATAACGTAAACTTAACAATGAAAAATTAAGGGAAGAAAAGCAAACAATGAAGTGAATTACTATGTAAGGAGCATTTTATGAAAGAGAAGCAGAAACATCCAATAAAAGGAAATTTATAAAGAAATAAAGAAATATACGAAATTTTGAAAGATGAACAGTGTTACTTTAAAGCTTACAAATAGATGACACTGGAAAACGAAACTAAATTACAATTTATAATTAAAAAAAAAAAAAAGGAAAATGAATAGCGAGGAAAGTTTAACATTTTTCCTCAAATATTGGACTACTTATACTCTTAAATTCCTTGGAAGATCAGTAAAATAATCTTGCAGGTAGACTAGCGAAAAGATGTGAAAATGTCAAACATATTATACTAATAAAAAATATCATTACATCAGCATCTAATTAGTTTTTAAACAGCATCTAATTCGCTCAATTCCCATATTTTCCCCGTTTTTGTAAGAAAAACGATTAAAATTGCTATAAATCAGCACTGTAGTCAAAAAAGACAATCGAAACTTATGCAACATCCAAAAACATACACGAATTCAATTCCAAATGAGGTAGTAAGCTGATATTAAGGTGATAGGTGTTCCTAAATATACGATAATATTCCCTATTCTGTTTTGTCAATTAATCGACTTGGATTTTGAAAAAAAAAAAAACTACTAATTCATGAAAAATAACTCGATGAAAAAATTTATTAATTGTTTGGTTTCTTATTTTTGTTTGGTTCATTAATTTCCTTTCACAATTTTGGTTTCCATTTGAGCTATTCGAAATCTAATTCAATCATCTAAGAAATAGCTAGAAATTTATGACAGACTTTCACAGCGTTATTATTTAATTCTTAAATAATAAAAAAAACTTCATTGATATGTAAGAAAATTCCAAATTTTCTAGCATTTTTAGTGAGGACTTCATAATAATTGCATAAACGAACTACTTGATCACTTAAAGACATTTCACTTGCTTACTTAAGTTCAATTATAGTTCTTTATATAAACTTTCTCTTCTTGCATGCCTTCAAAATTCACTTCTCAAAGGAGGTAAAAAATATTTTTAAACATTAAAGGAAAAATTAAGAGCAATAAAAAATAAGCAATGTATGTGCTTTATCGCATAATTTGAAGGCCTGTTCAAAGAAAATTGAAAGAACGAAAGGTTAAGCAAATTAACCCGCTTGTAAAAATGACAGGGAAGAATGAGACAATTAATATATAGCAGAATAGCCTGCGATAAACTTATCCCTAATTGTCAGACACAAAATAATTTTTCTCCTGATCGATCTCCAAAGCAGGGCTGTTTTAACAATTGTTGATCCATGAACTCAAAATTAAGAGTCCATAAAATGCCGAATAAAACTGGCCAGTTAGCATGACAGAAAGAAAACAGCTCTTTTCAAATGCAGGCTAAAACTTCTATTTGCCGCAACTACTTTTATTTCGAATTGCTGTAGAGAAATTGTATTAAGGCCTACAAGCGTGGAAAAGACCTCGACGTCCACCGGGATCAGTCAGCACTGGTTCACCGTAATTTGATTTATAATCTACATATTCCTGCAAAATGTAGCAAATTAATGCTGATTGCCATCAATTACATAATAAATTTTCACATCAAACTAGCATATTTGCAAACCGTTGCTGACATACCTTCAGGCACTATTTTTAAGACATTATGACTCGACTTTAATTGGCTAAAAAGTGTTTTTGAGCTAACAGCTAGAAAAAATAAGTACAGTGAGACTACTTATTTTAACATAAGCGTCTAGCATCTTATAAGCATCGCACTTTAAGCATATCATCTGGAAATGTGTTAAATATACCTGGTGACTCATCAAAACTTTGTCAGACTGAAATCTGACAACGTTCACTTTCATGCGTGTTTCTTCCGAGATATGTCCACGATAACCGCCCTTTCGCATTAAATTATCTATCGTTTCTGTATGATCCCAACCTGAAGTCGTTAAGATTTTTTATAAAGCAAATTCTATATATATATATATATATATAATCTTGAGTTTCTTCAAAATTAATTACAGTAAATTCGTTTTGTCCAAATTTACTAAACCTTCGAAAGCAAGAAAGAACAAAGAACCTTGTTCGCTAGCAACTTCTGGAAGATATACAGCATCACGATAATGATGACTGTCTTGAAATTCAATCCTGAAAATCAAGTTGTCTGCCACTT